CACCATTCCTGTATGTATATGGTACATCAAGCATGACATGTGCCCACATTTTCTGTATCATGGACAAAAAAAAAGGCAATAATGTATTCGAATAAATGAATCATGTATTTATTCTTCTATAAACATGAATAATGCCTCGATAAACGTTAACAAAAAAATCATATACCATTCAATTATTCTTAGACATGCTGGATATGCTTGATGACGAAAATGATAAGTCATACTCATCAAATAGTGATCAGAATCACAGTATTATTGTTGATCGTCCTATTATATCACAAAAATCATTTGATAAAGTATTTATTCCAACAGCATATGAAGATCGAACACCGAGTATTCTCGGTCGACAAGTACGAACATATGTAGAAGATAAATGTATACCTTCAAAACGTTGTGGAAAATCATATATAAAATTATTTTTTCCATTTTTATCATGGTTAAAAATTTATCAACTTGGTTGGTTACCAAGTGATATTGTTTCTGGAATTACGGTATTGAATTATTTGAGAAAAAATATTTATTAAGATTTATTTATTTGTATTACAAAGATTGCTATTATGCAAATACCACAAGGAATGGCATATGCTTTATTAGCTCGTTTACCAGCAATTATTGGTTTTTAATTCTTTTTAAATTTAAGTATATAAACAAAGATTTTTTTTGTATTATATAGGATTGTATATTTCATTTTTCCCACCGCTTATTTATGCTCTATTCGGCACATCGAGGCATTTATCAATGGGTTAATATGAAAATTTCTTTTGTATATTTTATACATAGAAAAACGAAATTGTTATTTTAGGTGCAATTGCAGTCATTAGTCTTATGACAGGCAATGTTGTTGAACGTCTTAGTGTGAAACCAATATTATCAACGATTGTTCCAAATTTATTGGATAATAGTACAGCAGTAATGACATCTAATGGTGCTTCAGATGATCCATCATATGCAATTACGATTGCTACTACATTAGCATTTACAGTAGGAATTATTCATGTAATTTTAATTCAACGAAAAGTCATTACTTTGTCATAATAAATATATTCGATTTTTATAGTTAATATTATGTGCTTTTCATCTCGGTTTTGTTACTTCATTTCTTTCCGATACATTTATAAGTGGTTATACAACTGGTACTGCTATACTTGTATTTACATCACAAGTACCAGATATATTTGGCTTAACACTTAAACGATATACTGGACCATTCAATATTGTTCATGTAGGAAAATATTTTCCATTATTATTAATTATAATTTCTTTTATTACTAAATATTTAGACATATATTGAAATATTCAGTAAATTAAAATATACGAATGTTGCTACATTAATTATATCAATATGTGCAATAATATCTTTAATTATTGTCAAAGAATATCTTGATCCATTTTATAAAAAACAAATAAAAAAAATAAAACTTTTCCAAACTATACAAATACCTATTCCCATTGAGTTACTAGTGGTATGTTATTTAAAACTACGTAAAATAATCATTCGATAGCTTGTTTTTCTAGATTATTGTTGGTACATTGATTTCTTATTATTTTGATTTACATGGTCGTTATAAAGTTAAAATTGTTAATACAATAGGTAGTGGGTAAGATTATTAAAAAGGAAACGTTTCTTTTCTCTTAAGTATTTATATTAGATTCCGTACACCACAAATTCCATCATTAGTACTTATACCGAGTCTAATTAAAGATGCTATTATTATCGCTGTTGTTTCATTTGCTATTTGTATATCATTAGCAAAAACATATGCAAAAAAATTTAAATATATTGTTAATTCAAATCAAGAATTAGCTGCATATGGACTATGTAATGTAAGTTACTGATAAAAGGTTAAAAAAGGAATAATAATTCAAATTTTTATTTAGATAATTGGCTCATTTTTTGGATCGTTTTCAAGTGCTGCTTCATTATCTCGTACAAGTGTTTATGTTAATACTGGTGGTCAAACACAAGTATTAATACATACTCTTTTTATTTTCCAATATTGTATTTTTTATAGTTAGCTAGTCTGGTATCTTGCGCTGCTTTACTTGTTATTATTTTGAAAATTGGACCATTGTTTGAATCATTACCCAAGGTAATTCATTTATAATATATATGAAAAGATTTTATGTGTTTTTTTTTATCTTTTTTTAAAGGCATGTTTAGCATCAATTATTGTTGTTGCGTTGAAAGGTTTATTTTTACAAGTAAAAGATATATATACTATTGGTCTTGTAACAAAATTAGAAGCAGTAAATAAAAATAAAATAAATTGAAATTGAAATTAATAATTTGATTTAGGTTGTTTGGATCATGACATTTTTAAGTACTGTTATACTTGATGTTGATTATGGGCTTATTGTTGGTATTTTTGTATCACTTATTGTTGTTATTTTTCGACAATTTCGGTTTGTTATCTTCTTTTATTCTTTTTTTTCTAAGATTAAACGTTCTATTTTAGACCTCGTACAACCGTGCTCGGTCAATATGAACGTAGTGAAATATATAAAAATGTGAAACGTTTTGCAAATGTAAGACATTTTTTCAACGAAAAAAAAAACGATAATTGTTTAAAAATATATATTTTACAAGGTTTATGAAATTCCTCACATAAAAATCTTTCGTTTTGAATCACCAATTATATATTTCAATGCAGATTATTTTCGTGAAAGTCTTTTAACTTCTGTTGGTCTTGATTTACAAACTGGTCAACAACGAAATATTTATCCAAAAAAATCAAATGAAAATCTTCATATTTTAACACATATCATCATTGATTGTGCATCAATCAATCAACTTGATTATAGTGGTGGAAAAATCTTTCTTCAAACAATAAAAGAATTGAATGATTGTCAATATAAAATTTATTTATGTAATTTAAGATGTAAGTAATCAATGGGAAATAAAAACTTTTCTCATTGTTTTTGTACTTATAGATTTTAATTATGATGTGTTAGAAAAACTTGAAATGAATAAAATATGTTCAGTAACAATAATGGCTACGGTTCATGATGCTGTACATCATATTCAAGATGAAATAACGGAAATTAATGATCAAGTACGTATGATGTTAAGGACTATTTTATTCTATTGTGTTTTTGATATTTAAAAAAACAAATTTTAGTATATGTTACTTGATACAACACTATAAGAAAAGTAATAGAGTATATTAATATATTAATATTGTGTTTTGTAACATTCTTATGCTATTAATATTTATATATAAATACCGTACGAAAAGGATAGTTTATAATTTCTTTTATTATTATTTAGGAAAACAAAGATAGCAATAACATTTCATCGAATACTAAGGTAAAAAATGAAACTAAATTTTTTTGTTTTAATGATTTTATTTTTGTATCTTCTATTCAATTAGGATCAAATATTTATGACGCGATTTTAAATTTTATATATTTTAATAAAGAACATTTTATTTTGCTTTTATAACTTTTCATAAAAAATAAATAAAAAACAAACAATCATATTTTAGATGATACATTTATCATTGTTTTGTATTTCCTTTGCCATTGTTTTTGTCATGGGACAAGAACAAGAACATCTGGTTAATACAAAAGTTGAAAGAACTCTTGATCTTGTTTCACATTTACCTAAAGAAATTATTAGTGTAACATTTGAAAATCGTGGAACAAAATCTGCACGTTATTATGATTATTGTGTTGAACCACAACATGTCAATGATGTTGGTTATGTTGGAGCAATTGTAAGTTATACAAATGAAACATTAACTTTCCATCATCTTTTGATATTTATTTAGGTCAGAGGAAAAAATAGTGGCGATCAAACTAATTTACCAATTAAACAGGAAACTACTGATAAAACTAAGTAAATGAATAAACATTGATTTTCGGGTTTTTTTTAATGTAATTTGAATTTTAGAGGAACTATTTATCGTATTGAATTACCGAATGATCTTCGTTCTAGTCAAACTATAACACTTGAGATAGAAGTTGTTCATATAAATGCTCTTCGTCTGTTGCCAACAGAAATTGTACAACATGAACGACAATTAGTATTATATAAAACCAATGCTTATTATTATTCAAAATATTCAACTCAAACACAAAAAACTATTGTAACATTACCAACTGACCGTGCTGAATCATATACGCAAGCACCAAAACCTGTTGCGAAAAATGAACAAACAATAACATATGGTCCATATGAAAATGTAGCTGCATTAACACGAAATGAAATATCATTACATTATGAAAATAATAATCCATTTCTAACTGTTAATAATATGAAACGTTGGATTGAAGTATCACATTGGGGAAATATTGCTGTTGAAGAAACAATTGAAATGTATCACAGTGGTGCTAAATTAAAAGGACCTTTTTCAAGACTTGATTTTCAACGTCAACAAAACAGTTACTCAGCTGTTAAAACATTTAAAGTAAACTATTTATTTTCAATCGATATATATATATATTTTTCTCTTTTATAAGACATCATTACCTGCAGCAGCCAAAGATATTTATTATCGCGATGAAATTGGTAATGTATCAACAAGTTCTGTACGAGAAATGCATGATCAAGTTGAAATTGAAATTCGTCCTCGTTTTCCACTCTATGGCGGTTGGAATACTTACTATGTACTTGGTTATAACGTTCCATCATATCAATATCTTTTTAATAAGTAAGACAAAAATCTAAATAACTAAAACTTCATGATTCTATAAAATATAAATCTATATGATAATGATTGTGTAATTAATAGAGTTTGTTTTTATAGCATTGTTCCAGTTAGTGTTTTATCCAGAGTTCTTTTTTCGGGTGGGCGCCGCCTAGACATGACCCAAATCCAAACTGTTTGAGTTTGGTGAGTTTGCGTTTGGGTATATGATTTTGAGTTCGGGTTTGTGGTTTTTTAATATGTAAAAGGCACTATTTTCAATACATTGATGGCAATTAAAAGAAGACCCAAACTGTTTGGTAGCTGTGGTACCAAACCCAAATCCAAACTACCAAACGGTATGAATTTGAATCTGGGTTTGGATCATGTCTAGCGCCGCCCGCTTAGCCCACCCGCTAGATAAAACACTGGTTCTAGTGAGATGGTATTATTAGAGACATTTTTTCATCAATATTCTTTAGCTTTGTTTCTAGTCTCGTATTTTATTTCATCAAAATAGGTTTCTCATAAATCTATGGATTATGATAGTACTCGATACATTCAAGGAGCTTTAGTTTTAATTTGCATAAGACACATGAAAAGGTACTCACATCCACACCCATTCTGTCATTTATAATAGATATTTATTGTATAAATGATTTCATTATTCAAACCTTTTGTTTTCGTATTGAAAAAAACCATAATCTATTTTTTCTTCTAGGGGAAATCAATATGTACTTAAAATGCGTCTTATCGATCATGTTTACGATGATCAATTACTTGAACAAGTTACTATTAAAATTGTTTTACCTGAATATGTACATAATATTGAATTTTATCCATCAATGCATGATACTGATATAAAACGTCTACGTAATGAAAAACATTATACATATTTAGATACAATTGGTCGTTCAGTCATTGTTATAACTAAACGTAATGCATTATTTCAACATATACAAGATTTTGAAATACATTATACATTTGATAAAATAATGTTATTACATGAACCTATGTTAATTATATTCTCATTATTTGGTTTATTTTGTTTTGTTATTATTTTAAATCGATTGAATTTTTCTATTAATCACGAAGAAAATAATGAAATACGTATACGTATTAAAGGCATATGGAATCAACTTATGGAACATAATATAAAACGTACAAGTTTCTATCAAAAATTAGATGAATTATTAAATACATTTAAAACAAATAAAGATTTGAAAATTTATAATGAACAACGTAAAAAATTTGAAAATGAACTTAAACGTATTGAACAAAATTTCAATAATTTACAAACAAAAATCAAAGCCGATAGTGTTGAAACAGCTGAAAAAGTTTGAAAATATTTTATATAAATTATTTTATTCTTAATCATTTTCTATTTAATTAGATTGCAGAATTTCAACAACTTGATGCAGAACAACGTAAAATTACACAATTATTATGTGGTAATACTGAAAAACTTGTTAATGGTAAAATAAAAAAACAAGCTCATGGTGATGAAGAACAAAATTTACGCCTTAAAATACGTGATATAAATACACGTATATCAACAATTCTCAATCAATACTAATGATAAAAAATAATCTCATATTCAATTAAACATTCTTTTCGCTTTTTGTTGTCATGTGCTCAGTGTGTAATTCTCAAGAATAATAATCTCATTAGATTTCGTTTGATTAATCTCGTTTTTTTTATTAAATATGAATGACAAATTTTGAATAAAACAAAAAACGTATTTCTCATTTAAAACTTCACATCTAATTGAAGATATGCTAATGTATCTTGCTCGTTGGAATAATAACTATTCATGTAAATCTAATGATTAAATTGGCTATTTTATTGATAGAAATAGAGATTAATATAATGTGTTAGTTTTACAATAGTGTTATGGATACTCTACAATTAGTAATTTATTGAATATATGTATATTTACAAGAGAAAGAAATGTAACTCTTTTACAGACAAAAAAAAGA